GAGTATAATATTTACCCGCGTGAGTTATGGTCAGTTAAAACTTGGAACATTCTTGTTCAAGGTGGGCGGCTCCGCCCAGCACGCCCGGTTCCTCAACAAACCCTCCACGGCCGACTTACTGAAGGAGACGCGAGATCCGGTTACCCCGAATGTCACAGCAAGTCGGGGAAGCCTTCGTGTCCCCACCCTACGTCTTTACGGAGGACAACATTCCCCAAAACAGCGAAAATCCCCCAAAACCGTCAAAAACTTCCCCAAAACAACCAAAAACTCCCTCCAAAACAGCCAAAAACTCCCCCCAAAACAGCCAAAAACTCTCCCCCCAAAACAGCCAAAAACTCCCCCCAAACAGCCAAAAACTCTCCCCCCAAAACAGCCAAAAACTCCCCCCAAAACAGCCAAAAACTCCCCCCAAAACAACCAAAAACTCTCCCCCCAAAACAGCCAAAAACTCCCCTCCAAAACAACCAAAAACTCTCCCCCCAAAACAGCCAAAAACTCCCCCCAAAACAGCCAAAAACTCCCCCCAAAACAGCCAAAAACTCCCCCCAAAACAGCCAAAAACTCCCCCCAAAACAACCAAAAACTCCTTCCAAAACAGCCAAAAACTCTCCCCCCAAAACAACCAAAAACTCCCCCCAAAAAACAACCAAAAACTCCCCCCAAAACAGCCAAAAACTCTCCCCCCAAAACAACCAAAAACTCCCCCCAAAACAACCAAAAACTCCCCCCAAAAAACAACCAAAAACTCCCCCCAAAACTCCGTGTTGGTGTTGGTGGGGCGGCGAACCTCCGCCGCCGCTCAGCTGAGACATAAACCCCAACCTCCTTTTTTTAAAAACCTTTTTCCATCATCTTTTGCGGAGTCTTTCTTCCCGCGACGCGAGTGTTTGACCGTCAGAGTTTTTCTTGCCCCTCGACCAGACAATATTAGATTACCAGGTCCTCCTTGCGTCCGGAGACACGCACAACGCTCTAAAACATTACATTTCTGACCGTCGCATTTTCTCAAGAATCATTTGCAATTTTCGTGGCAAGACATCCACCCACTGCACCGCCTAATTTGTTTATTTGGAAACAGAAAAATCCACAAGAAGCTTTGAGAATGGGATTTCAATGAATTTAGGATAATAGTGGATAGTATTTTCTGGTTATTTGTGTGTTTGAGCGCCGTGTGGGACCCGGTGCTCTGGGACTCCGGATATTAATTATAGATAACGCAAATTTCTTCATTCCCGAGTGAACACGTCGTTTTCCAGGATGCTCTCTTGCTGACGCTGCCTTGTGTGGGGCTCACACTGCAGGGGGCTCTACCTCCCTGGGCTCTCACACTGCAGGGGAGCTCTACCACCCTGGGCTCACACTCCAGGGAGCTCTTCCACCCTGGGCTCTCTCTCTCTCACACACACACACAAGACAGATCGATGATAAAGCCCACGTGCTATAGACTATTGAAGCCTCTGAAGCCTCCAATAACTTGCGGGCTTCATCCCGTCCTCCGTCACGAAGCCTCGTCGCTCTGTCTCTGACGATGACGGAGGACGTGACTGTCTCGTCACGGGTAAAGCCTGTCACCCATGGTGAAGCCTTTCAATAAGAAAACGCAAACAGGAAAGCCACTGTGGCTAAAATGGAACACCGGTGATTCGTTATTTTTGTCTCACAGCTGAGAGGTTTACCTCCGCTATTAACGTGCGTCTTCGTTAGTGGCTGTCGTTGCTCCTGCTCGGTCCACTTATGGAGTGAGATGACGTTCATGTGAGACCTCAAGGGCTCAGGGGGACCTCTTGTCGTGGGGGTCACTAAGGGCTCAGTGGCTGGGGAGCTCTTGTCATGGGGTCACTAAGGGCTCAGGGGCTGGGAGCTCTTGTCATGGGGTCACTAAGGGCTCAAATACTGGAGACCTGTTTTCGTGGGGTCTCTGAGGGCTATGGAACGTCAGGAATGAGCACCTTGGCGAGAAGGGAAGCAGAAAAGTAATTTGAAAATGACATTGCAGATGAAGGCCCTCTTAATCTGCACTTGCATAATGAGGAAGACAACATTATAAACCTGGGCGACACGACTGATGATATGAGAGGATTCACTCACCGAGAATGACAGGAAAGTGTGTGAGGATCTCAACAGGAAACTCCAGGAATTTTTCACGATAAAGTTGCTGAACTAGTAAGGTGAATGACAAACCAAGCAGCATAGGAGGACTCTGAGGGAAGCAGACAAGCAAGTACAGCACATCTCGGTGACATAAATAATCGGCAGTACTCCTACACACACACACACACTCCTCTCTCTCTCTCTCTCTCTCTCTCTCTCTCTCTCTCTCTCTCTCTCTCTCTCTCTCTCTCTCTCTCTCTCTCTCTCTCTCTCTCTCTCTCTCTCTCTCTCTCTCTCTCTCTCTCTCTCTCTCTCTCTCTCTGTATGTGTGTGTGTGTGTCTAGCGTGCGTTGCTAAAGAGGCTGGTGTGTGCAGGAGAGACCGGTGTCAGCTCTCTCGCCACCGGCACACACACACCAATTGTTTGCCTCACATTTCGCTACATCACTTTTGAATATGAGAGCGAGAGAGAGAGAGGACGCAGCCTGGATGGTTCAGTACCTGTGTGCTGTGTTGCCTCCACAGCACACAAGGGCATCTCCGAGTAGCCTAGCATCTTCACGCTCCTCATGCAGACAATGCACCTCATTATCTTGCTAATATATATGCAATGTAGTTTATTGTTTACCAATATATGTCAATTAATTGACTAAGGAAACCATTAATTGACTTATATATATTGGTTTCCAATGTACAAGTCTAATATATTGTTAAACCCAAATCGTAAAACTCTATAAACTGGACCCCGAACATTACACTAATTCACTAATTTCAAAATGCTAAAGATTTGATATCTTTGTAAGTTGAGGATCTCTGTATTATAATAGGGATATTCGTACATTATATTTGAGAATATTCCTTCATTTAGGTTTCACATATTAGCATATTTGACTCGGAAATCTATAGCAGTAAATTAAAGTGTCTATTTGTTTGTGTGTGAGATTGGAGACCAGATGCTTAGGGCTAGCTTCATCCAATTTTACATATAATTACTGTTGGGTACGTGCCAAACATGAGTGGGTCTGGATAGGCTAGATGGCAAGAGTGCCACACGACACTATGCCAGCGTGAACACAACGAATGTGTCGCAATACTCTATGACTCAACTCTACATTATTTTAATTAATTTGTTCACATTGGAAACTTTTTGCACTCATCATGCTAACAATTTAAACAACTAATAATACCTTTCAGACCAAAATAAATTTTGATGATAAGGTTTTCCTTAGATTTTCTGTATTGTGTATTGATGACCTGTCTGTATGTGAAGTGTTCTTAGTGTTATTAGAGAGAGAGAGAGAGAGAGAGAGAGAGACAGAGACAGAGGAAGACAAACCCGGGCATTTCAGAGTGTCACTTGAAGTGTTTCTATATTAAACACTGCAACATTGCACTCTAACACAGTAACACTTAAACTTTACCTAGAGTGACACACTTCGAGGTAGAGTCAGGCGTATAGAGACGCGGCCCCGAGGACATACCAGAGTGAACTATGATTAGTAGCGTTTAGCTTTATATGATACACGCTCATAAATGTCTCAGAGAACAGTTGGTGATTATGTGAGAGTGACGGCCGGCCTGGCGGGCCAGCCTCGCAGGTCTGCCCGGGGGACCTGACAACACACCCGCGGTCTGCTCGGGCCGAGAGCGACGCTCAACACACACTCAGACCGAGTATATAAACATCAAGAAGCGGTGGAGTGGTAAAAACCACGGTGGCGCCCCCTCGTGGTCCACGGTGTTTGTCCTGACGTCCAGGAGGGAGGCGGTGACCTCCCTGGGACCACCGCGAGACGTGTCCAACACCTTCATTGCTTCAGTACCGGCCGGCCGGCCCCTCTTGACACTCCTGGGGGTTATTTTCTTCCTCCCTCCCTCCCGTGGCCCTCTCCTGGGGGTGAGGGAGGCAGGCAGGGAGGGAACGGAGTGGGAAGGAAGGAAGGGGGGAAGGTGGAAGGAAGAGAAAGGCACGACTGGGAGAGAAAGACCTTGGTGGAGGACAGTGGAGGGCAGCTCAGTGTATTCTCGGACCAGCAGAGATCAGTGGCTAGCCACCACCACCGTATGGCCAATATTACCTCACTTTCCTCACCTCTCCCTCACTGTGAGGGCCTTCTTCCCTCATCTCTCACTTACTGAGTGACGCCTCCCCTCACCTCTCCCTCACTGTGAGGGCCACCTCCTCTCACCTCTCCCTCACTGTGAGGGCCACCTCCTCTCACCTCTCCCTCATACAACTATACCATCCTTACACGTCTACTGAGCTCCTGAATCAGTTCATCTCCAAGTAAATGTGAACAAAACAGAAGTGGAATAATCAGAAAGAAGTGTAAGCGCGCGCAGCGATGATGAATGACTCCACTACAAAGATAATCTAGGTTAGTACTCAATATTTAAAATTAAAAACTAAATAATATAGTTTAAGTAAAGAAGGAGCTGCAACCAGACGGACCATTGAATGTTACATTGATGATTTTTCGTGTGTATTTCGAAGCGTTAATTAAGTGAGAGCCAGCACCAGAGGGCTGGTTGAGCCGTGCAGGTGGCAGGAGCGTCCGTCCTGCCCCGTCGACAGTCTGCGGGTGACTGAGGGCAGCATCTGTGCCCAGCCTGCCAGCGGCCGCCACCAACCTGCTCTCACATCTGAATGAAATTTTGTAATATATTTTTATGTGGCTTTTATTAGGAGAGTGATGTGTTGACGAGGAGGCTTGTGCGTGGTGCCGAGGGAACACAGGGCCGCCGACACTGCTGCTGCTCTCCGCCCGGAGGCTCCTACTGAAGGAAGTAGCAAATGTACCCGTGAAAGTTTTCTCTTGTCAACAATGACGTCACAGGCCGGGGCACGTGTGGAGTGAAGGCAACAGGTGAAGTGAGCATTCAGTGATGTCCGTGCGCTGGTAGAGGCAAGACGGACCTTCCCAAACCTAACACTTGAAGAACACTCACTCACTCACTTATACTCACTCACTCCAGTATGAAACCATCCGTGAATGGTATCTCCATGCGAGCGCCATCATGAACTGTTAACTTTGAGGCATGTGAGGTGCTGTGAGCGTTGCCTAGCAGCAGCCGTGTCCAGCGAGGCGTGAGGTGCCCTAGTCCCAATATGGAAGGATATTTCCCCCGCCAGAAGAGGAAGTTCGAAGGCCAGAATACGACAGGTTCTGCGGTACACTGACGCCGCCCCCTCACCCTCGACCCCGCAGTGCTCTGTCTAGGCGTCACCTGTCTCCTGCTGTGTCCTCCGAGAATGACTTATTATCACGATGAAACAATGTTCCAGGTGACTGAAAGTGAAGTTAATTGAGTACCTTAACCAGTTGTCGCTCTATGCCACAAGTGATACAGTTGTGGGGTTGGGGTACAGCTCTTTAAGCAAGAATTATATCCGAGTGTTGTGTGTGCGTCACAGCGACACGGGAGACTTCGATGCGAGGGAAGTAATTATCCTCAGGTGTGGCGAGGATGATTGACGTGGGTGGGCAGGCGATGGAGTGCCCACATCAGGACCAGGGGCCAGACTCGCCCTCCACCGACACCAACAACAACAGCAAGGACACCCGCTCGAGGGAGAAGTACGCCCTCCGGCCGAGGACCATCATCAAGAGACTGCAGCACGAAATAATCCGCAAGGAGGCTCCCAAGAGGCTCCCAAGTTCGAAGTCAAGGCCAGCACCATTGTCGAAGTATCGGAGGAAAACTGCCAATGCTAGAGAACGTCATCGAATGAAGGAGATTAACAATGCGTTCGAGTCTCTGCGTAAAGTTCTTCCCGACGCCCTGGAGATTCAAGCAACTTCCTCATCAATGACTAAGATCACGACTCTCCGTCTGGCTGTGGACTACATCAGAGCTCTGTCACACGTCTTGCAAGAGACTGGCGACCCAGAGCTCTGTTCTATACAAAACACCTTACAACACTCCATACATAACACCTTGCAGCACTCGCTACAGTACCCACTTCAACCATCTTTCCAACATTCCTTTCAAAAACTAGCGTGCACGTCCGGTGGGTTGACGAGCTTCCAGTACGAGCACTCGTCGCCCAGTCTCCCCCAGCAAAACCTTTCTCAGTGCCAGCAGCTGCTGGGGTGCTTCTCCCCATCCTGCAGCGCCGCCTCCGTCACCTGTTCGCCCTCCACCGACCGCAAGTCCCTCAGTAGCGCCAGTGACATCGAGGAGCTCCTCTCTGACGACTCCGCACTGCTAGACGACAACTTAGATGTCTTTTACGACATTCCGTCGTTAGCTGTAGCTGACCCGTTCGAGATCCTCCTAGTGGCCGAGAAGGAGGGTCTTCCCTTCCCCTCAGAGCAGTGTAATTGAGGACAGACTTCGCGGAGCGTTACCCGAGTCAGTGATAACATGTTTTCGCAAGAAATAAACAATAATGGTGCTGATATAATGGTGACTCCGTCGAGTTCTTTCTGAAGCGGCAACTTTTGACGTTGAAGAGAGACAGGTGTGTGTGTACACCTGTTCCCAGCCAGATAACTTCACTTTATTTAGTGCTGACGGACGCTACATCAGGAGAAACGATGGCTGTTAAATATACAATGAGCTGCGCAGTGATTTGCATACCCTGTCAATTACCTGTCAGATGGTATCGAAGCTCGGCGAGGTCTCAAGTCGAGTCTGCTGCCCCAAGTAACCACAGTGCCAAAATCCCCATGGCGATTCTAGTCTATTTACCAAGTGCCATAATGTGGGGTGCCATCCACCGGCTCCTTCATGTTCGTGGTATGGCAACTCACCTCTGTGGCACATCAGGATGTAATTTGTATTATTGTCATTGTCGTTAAAAAATAAGTGTATTTCAGCCATGTAATTTATATGTAAAGGAGGATTATTTCTCATTTTCTTTTCAAGAATTATGTAGTACATTAAACTTACATTTGATGCCATGAAGACTTTTCTTGGTGAGATATTCCTTTGTTGCAATACGAGGGTTGATGTGTGAGTATATACGATGATTGACTTGCAGTGACATCATTGTAGCTTACGAAACTACTTAATTTATCTACAGTGATGTTATTGTTGAGTAGTATGATCAATTGTCTGTCTGTCTGTCTGTCTGTCTGTCTGTCTGTCTGTCTGTCTGTCTGTCTGTCTGTCTGTCTGTCTGTCTGTCTGTCTGTCTCTCTCTCTCTCTCTCTCTCTCTCTCTCTCTCTCTCTCTCTCTCTCTCTCTCTCTCTCTCTCTCTCTCTCTCTCTCTCTCTCTCTCTCTCTCTCTCTCTCTCTCTCTCTGTCTCTCTCTGTCTCTCTCGTCTCATCATAATTATAACTATCACTAGGGGGGTATATAAGAAGTAGTGGTAATATCCCTCATGACACTGCAAGCTATGGACTTTAGGGCGCCGGTGGCTGTGTGGACAGCACGCTGCACACGTAATCCTGTGGCTCGGGTTCGATTCCCGGCGCCAGCGAGAAACAAAATGGGCAGAGTTTCCTTTCACCCTAATGCCCCCTGTTACCTAGCAGTAAATAGGTACCTGGGAGTTAGACAGCTGTTACGGGCTGCTTCCTGTGTTTGTGTGAAAATAAAATACAATAATAAAAAATTAGTAGTTAGAAACAGTTGAGAGGCGGGCCGAGAGAGCAGAGCTCAACCCCTCGCAAGCACAACTAGGTGTATACAACTAGGTGAGTACAGTTATCCAACATCAGCTTATATAAAGCTTATAAGCTAGACCCAAAAGCTTATTAAATGAAATCATTACTTTTCTATTTGAAATAAACTTTACTTAATGTTTACCTACAATTACGTTAGATATAGGATGACACTACGGCTGAGCGTCTTGTGTTGTGACTGCCAACTTCTAGCTGTCCACGAAGCAGTAGTGTCAGATGGGAACCTTGAGAACATTGGCCTTATACCTAACAGTGTTGCTGCTAACACCTACCTGGTGTGTGAGCTCTGATGGGCTGAACAGTTAAACAATAACGAGTCAACGTTAGCGAGTCTTCTGGCTCGTTGTTCTACCTAGTATAGAAGTCAGATACATGAGAGTGGTGGAGCAGGCCATCCAGGAGAGCGGTACATACTCAAGATGGGTATAGCACACTCATGCTCCACATAAGGTTTTGCAACCTCTGCTGTCGAGATAATATTAGCAACTGAAGGAAGGAAGGAAGGAAGGAACTATGAGGAGAAAGCGCCAAGCCATTACGACTATATAGCACTTGGAAGGGGTAAAGATAAAGATTTGGGATGGGACGGGGGGAAGGAATGGTGACCCAACCACTTAGACGGCCGGGAATTGAACGCCGACCAGCATGAAGCGAGACCCTCGCTCTACCGTCCGTCACCCGTCCCTGCTGCTTCACCGTCAGCTGGTCTAGCATCGTCACCCGTCCCAGCGTCATCTGGTTCTGTCAGTTCTCAACATAACTCACGTATAAATCGTACACATTACCCACACCAGACTTGGCCTGATTAATGAGGCCTCGCGAGCCTTATAACCAGGTGGCATTAGGGTGAGGTTGCCAGCACACACCACCAACCTCCTAATGACAGTCCGTATAGCAAGTATTTGCTCCTAACGAGCGTAGTTGCTCAACCTCCATCAACCTTTGTGGTAGGGAGCCGGTCGGCCGAGCGGACAGCACGCTGGACTTGTGATCCTGTGGTCCTGGGTTCGATCCCAGGCGCCGGCGAGAAACAATGGGCAGAGTTTCTTTCACCCTATGCCCCTGTTACGTAGCAGTAAAATAGGTACCTGGGTGTTAGTCAGCTGTCACGGGCTGCTTCCTGGGGGGTGGAGGCCTGGTAGAGGACCGGGCCGCGGAGACACTAAAAAAACCCGAAATCATCTCAAGATAGTTATGGAGCCAATCCTCCATTAATGATAGTACATATAGCAACTATCTAGTAGAACGTACGAAAATGCACGGTGCAGCAACATTGCTCGCATTTTGTACTATTCATTTCATACCGGGCACGACAAGTGTACGAAATAAACCTTAACTTTCCTGGGCCTCGTAGAGCATGTATATAGGTTCGAAATTAGGCCTAAAACAAGGTATGTTAGGCCTAGGCTTGCTTACTAGCGCCAGGGATAGGGTTAAGTTATTTACTTGTAATTTTTGTAACTTGCCATTTTGGGTTTAATTCCGTAGCACAAAATGTGACACTTTTGAGGGACTCAACAGTCTACTTTTGTACGTTTGACCAAACTGTTGGTGTAAGTCCCGTCATTATTGACGGAGGGGTTGTATGTATGTACGTATACGAGTGAAGACATGTATCATGTGTTCAGGTCCACGTGGACCCGTGGAACATGTGTCATGTGTCATGGGTTCCTGGCACCGTCTACTGGGGCCAGCAGGGGCAATGGGTGCCAGGTGCCGCTCCACACACACACCCATAAATTATGGGGCTTTACACCATGCAAATCACCGGGTTTTGTATCTCTGCTAATGCCAGACGGCCTCCGTGGACGCCTGTGTCTCCCCTGTGGGGGAGAGAGAGAGAGAGAGAGAGAGAGAGAGAGAGAGAGAGAGAGAGAGAGAGAGAGAGAGAGAGAGAGAGAGAGAGAGAGAGAGAGAGAGAGAGAGAGAGAGAGAGAGAGAGAGAGAGAGAGAGAGAGAGAGAGAGAGAGAGAGAGAGAGGGGGGGGGGGAGAGAGAGAGAGGAAGATGCACACACAGTGGAGGTATGGCCACACACACACACACACACACACACACACACACACACACACACACACACACACACACACACACACACACACACACACACACACACACAGCCATACAGCACGGTGTTATCAACCATCAGCTCCCTGGCCGGGTCTGCCTGGTTGATCACCCCACAACCCCAAGGTCCTGGGCCCCCGTCCACCATCACCACCACCACTACCACCATTACCAGTATCTACAACCACCTACAATGTGTATATAATTGTTTGACGCGCGGCAGATTCCATCCCTCACACACCCCCGAAATTTAAACGACCACTTCCCCCCCCCCTTCCCTCCGCCTCTCCGGACCACGGTGAAGGTTGTGTAGAGATAACGATGGTTGGCTGGCAGCGTGGAGAGAGAGAGGGCAATTAGGCGTCTCCGGTGTTGAAGTGACGGGTGAGGGCGAGGCGTGAGGTGTGTGGAGCGGGGTAATGAGAGGTCATCACTATGCACCGCCCACTTACCACGCCCTACATCATCACCATCTTTCCTGGCCATCTGGTGGTGATGGTGAGTCGCTTCCCTTCTTCTTCTTCTCCCCTGGAGCCTTGTCGCCGTCGCCACCACCATCACCACCACCATTACAACTACCACTATCACCGCCACCACTACCAACACCACCACTACTCGCTTCCCCTGTAGTTCCGTAGGCAGTCAGGTAAGCACCGCCAGAACTACCATCACTACTTCCTCTGCCACCACCCCCCCATCACGCTACCACCTCCTTGGCCATTCCTCGAAGGGTCTTGAATACATACACGGGTCTTGAAATCCATACCCGGGGTCTTGGAGTCCATCCCCGGCTCTTGGAGTCCATTCCCGGGGTCTTGGAGTCCATCCCCGGGTCTTGGAGTCCATTCCCGGCTCTTGGAGTCCATTCCCGGGGTCTTGGAGTCCATCCCTGGCTCTTGGAGTCCATTCCCGGCTCTTTGAGTCCATCCTCGGGGGGTCTTGTAGTCCAGGACCGCCCTCCGAGGACCTCTCTATCGGCCACCTCCATAAATCGGCCACAGATCAGCATACTTCGCGCCGGGGACGTCAGAAAAATTGAAATATTTCCACAAAAGAAGAAGGAAAAATGGCGCCTTTCCTCCTGAGGTGTGGGCAGCGAGGTACGATAATTACACGCTAGATGGCGGCTCGATCAGATCTTCACAGTTCCTAACACCTGGTTCCCTTGACGTTATATTTTATCTGTTTTACACAAGACCCTGAGCTACAGGCTGACCGCTAATGTGGGTATATGTGTTTATATATTATATTTTACATTGTGTGTTATCTGACGAGCCTTTTGGGGAGGGATACGGTTTGCCTAGTTGGACGTGTGATGTCGGCCTTTGAAACACAGGACGTAGGCACGCTTTCCATCATTGAATAGATGGGAGTGAGAGATGGGGGTGAGGGATGGGGATGAGGACTGGGGATAGGGGTGATAGGGTTTATTCCGAGGCTCTGAAAATATTATTCATTCCTCAGGGAAAAATTTCTGGCGCAGGATGGAGGCTTCTCCTCGGACGCGGGCGCCATGTTGTGTACCTTTTAGCCACTCGTGGTGGACAGGCACAGTTGACACCTGTGGGACCCGGGACCCTGGTTCGATCCCGCCCTCCCATCCTGTAGGGAAGAGATATATATAACTGGCAGCATCCATGGCGTGTCACACAATAGGCTGCTTGTTATCAATGTCGAGTTCCTTAATCTCACGATAGCATGTGTTGTTAAGGGATAGCAGCAGGGAACCACAGAGAGGACCCGTGCTTGCCCCCCCCCCCCCCGGCGTGCAGCCAAGAAGGGATACTAGGAACCAGTTTGGAGACCTCTTGGCCTTCACGACCTCTCCTCTAGTAAAATAATTCTTACTTAAGATAAGGAATGAGCGAATGAGATTCATTTGAACACTTGAACAGTTGAACACTTGAACAGTTGAACAATTGAACACTTAAACAGTTGAACAGTTGAACACTTGAACACTTGAACAGTTGAACAATTGAACACTTAAACAGTTGAACAGTTGAACACTTGAACACTTGAACAAAGAGACATGCAAAAAGGACTTTGCGAGCATCACCAGGAGACCGCCTGCCAATAATTGTGACAATTTCAGATGCTGGGGATAATTTAAAAGTTATTAATAATATTTGATGCTGATGAGAGGGATCCTGGAGGGTATATATAGTGATGCACGACCATAATAACATATGTGTTAAATATACATATA